CTGCTTGCCGAGGGTCTCGCCTCGTGGGAGCAGCACAGAGAGAGATTACAACCCACCGTCCCCGCGTACAGAACTGGGCAGTAGCTGTTTTCCAGGCACAGGCTGCAGCTCCGCGCTGCGCCTGCAGCTTCCACCGGCCTTGAGAGAGACCGTTGCCACGCTCCTGGAGAGCCAAATCCCTAAACTCTAATTTTCAAGTTAAAGAAGCTTCCTCGAGACTCAGCTCGGTTTCTTTTGTCACGATTATTCAGAGCTGGCCTCGTGCCTAGAATTCAGTCCGCCGCACATCCTCCCGTCAACAGTTTAGCCTGAAAACTTGCTTCTGCTGTCGCGAATGGACAAACTTCCACTGGCCTCCGAGATCCCGGGGAAGAGCAACGGGGCGGCTTTGCTACGCTCGCTGCTGCTCCTCCAGGGCCCGCGATGAAAGCATTCGCCACCGGGTGCTCAGGGTGAGATTATCTCAAGAGCTATGGGAAGAAATCCTGCTTTAGGATAGCGGTCTAGAGCGCGTCTGCCTCTTAATCTAAAGCCAAAAAACACTGCAAAAGCCAGATCTGTTGGATTCTAGATGAGTCACGGTTGAGTATAGCATTGTAACTACCAGAAAAGTCAGTGATCAGATTATATTCCTCAGACCTTATTTCATAGAAAAGTATGCTTTTTAAGTTGCTGAGGGAAATTAATATTATAGTAACACCTATGGAGTTACTAAAATGGAAGTTTTCTTTCTTTTTTTTTTTGGTGAAAGAATAACCTAGGAGATGTGATGGAATTAAGAAACCACCTGTTTTTCATTCCTTTGCATAAATTTCTAAATTACATTGTTCAGTTAGTGGGACAATACAACATGAAATTTTCTTAAGGAGCTAGAAAAAGTAACAATGGACTTGAGTCAAAAATCTATCAGAATCAACATCAACCTGTTTCTTGATCTTAGTGGATTTTGGCTTAAGACTATTAATAGAGGACCAAGATGTTTCTTCTAAGCTGTATTTCTAGCATCTGCTGCTTTCCCCATAAAACGCGAAAGTCTCAATCCACGGTTTCATTTTGATCCAAACAAAAATTGCCTTTTATCCTATGATTTGGCAGCTGGGATAATGTGGAATTTCTCTACTGATCCCATTCAAGGTATGAAGCGGAGAGCTTAGATACCTCGTCTTTGTGTTCTTTTTCAACCAGTTTCTCAAAACTCAAAAGATGACCCTGGTCATACAGGAAAGCATGGGTGTGAGAAGAATAAAGGGAACTGCAAATGGAAGTCTAACTCTAGACAGTATCTCAGCATTAAATTTGCAGCTTCTCAGGAGTTTATGTTCTGCCTGCCCCATGCGCGCGCATCATGCTGTCTGACATCGGCCTTCGCTTTCCTAACAGAGCCTCAAGAAAATGGCTGCTTACATCCAAAAGAAAGGCTAAAAGCCAGCATCTTTCTGCTAGGTCTCAAAATCACTTCCAAACCTGACTACATTTTTCCCCAAAGAAAGCTCACAAAATAGAGGGAAAATGTGGAAGAGGGATGGATTTTTCTAAAAGTAACGTTCATGAGTCCCATTCCCTTCAGTTTATAGTAGAAAACAGTCTTGCTCCTGTGCCAAGAACTCTGAATTTGCAAAATCCTGCTGGTCTTTAGACAAGACTAACTATTGATGAGCTGAAGCCTTCACTGCGGTATTGACCTAAGTTTCTGCATTGTGTAACCTATTAAGGGACAGCCTGCAACTAAGCAACCCTTCACCTTCAAGTCTAGGGCTGCTCTTCTTTATTGTCTCCACCCTTTACTGGCTTTCATAGCATCACTAGAAGTATTAGTCTTCCCTTAAAATTTCTGTAGCTATTCCTCTAGTGAGGAGAGTAGAATGGCCAATAACTTCAACACTTTTCTTTTATTTCTCTTAAAAAAAACTATTAATGCAGCTGCCTAGCATGACTTTTGCGGTCAGTAAGAAAGTGGCTGAGTGGTTGTCAATAGAGATCATTTTAGGAGCAAGTTGCAGACTTGCTTTTCCTTGTAGCAACTTTTTTATGGCAGTTATAAATCTGGTATTGCATACGTACTGAAAGAAAAATGAGGACTAAAGGAAAAGCAGCAATACTTAAAAGTGGAAATGCCCCATGTCTGATATTTAGTGCCATCAGCGTGCTCTGAGATGCAAGTGCCGCGTTCACGTTCAGTGCTCTCAGGTTTCTTGCTGCTATGCAGCATTGCGACGGCACCAAGCGAGGGGTGAAAGAGCAGGGCATACAGACAACTCCCTTCTGCCTCCTCGCCAAAAAACTCTCCCTGCAGTGCTGTCCGTGGTGCAGGTGTTCCAGACCCGTTAACCACGTCGTTTCTACAAAATACCAACCGAGCACTAGAAGGATTCGTTGCAAGGCAGAGGCTGTTCCTCACCTTTGCAATGACTTCAGCCAAGAGGGCCGCAGCACCAGGAAAGCCAAGAGCTGCCTGCTGACGAACACGTCCGCGGAGCCGGGCGCTAGGGGACAGCCAGAGCTCATTTCACAGGAGACGATGGAGGTCTCCTCAAGAGCTGCCTCCCCTGCCGCTCGGCGCCTGCTGACAAGGGCAAAGCCCCGCGGCCGCGGGCTCCGAGGAACGAAGCCTGCGGAAAAGCTGCAGGGAGAGACATGGCCTGTCTGCGGGCGCTGGTAGGACCACGCGCGTCAGTGTTGCTGGTTCTTGCAAGGTCTGTGGAGAGCATCTCCCAAAGCTGACACAGCACCAAGCGCTCAGGAGCCTGACGGCACCTTAATGAATCAGCGACCAACCCGTGACAGCTCTGCCGCGGACTCCTCAACGCTACGGTAGCAGGCAGAGGACTCGGCTACCAACCAGTAAATACATTCTGATCACGTCGTGCCAGATTTAAAGAAGCCTTTCTGTTAAGATGTTGGCTTTGCCAGAGACAGTGAAAGGAAATGCAGCATTGCCCATTTTAGGAAACAGATCAGAACAGATTCCTATTTTGAGATTCTGGAATTTCAGGTAAGATGCATTTTTTCACCTCTGAATTCAGACCTGCTGGTTTATACAATATTGTAGGGTTTCCTCACAGGGTATTTCTAGCTGTGCCAGAAATAAGAATATTAGAGAAGTTAGAGAAAAGCATAAAAGACTATTTTTTTCTAATGACGTTTCCAGGCAAAATTTTTCAGGTGGAAGCAGCTAAAAATGCTGTTCAAACTGAACTGTTATCTGACTTCTGAATAGTTAGAGTCACCTGTCACTAATGCAGAGACTAAGTTCTTGCTTTTTATAAAATGGGACCATTCAACGCTGTTCTGAACCGCACCAAATTCCTGCCTGCAGTAATCTGTGAAAGTGAGCTACACAGGATAATTATGATTTTGTAAAAGCACATTGCCTTTTTAGTGGCATAAGGGATCCTTACCCTGGCACCCAGCGTGCCTTCTGTATTGCCATTTATCATATCCAGATCTGAATCACTGATCTCTGCCACTGCTCATTATTTTCCTCTCCTCTGTTGTGTAGCACTAACCCTTTCACTGGTCTCTTCACCTAGAGGTCTTTTCTGCTGTGTAACAGTTCTCGTTGCCTATCTCAAAGTCCTTTCTATTATCATTTAATGATTTTACTGATTTTTAACTCAACTGTCAATTACTCTGGTCCTAAAAAAACTTTGGCTGTGAGAACTGATAAAAAGGGACAGAAGACTACTTCAACCAAGAGACAACTTTATTTTTCCAGTTCTCTTCCATTTCACTTCCTTCATTTTAAGTGAAACATATATAATAAAGACAAATGATACATTTTCTGTTAGCAGATACCACTTCACACCCTCCTTTCTCTTTCCTTTTTAATATCATCAAAAGTGATGTACTTCAATTCTTTCAGGCATACTCTGATGATATTGTAATATGCAGTTTATTGAAAAATCAAATGGCTTTTTTTTTTTTTTAAATGTCAGCAGCACTCTGCAGTTTCCCTACTGAAAAGCAACATTTAATTTTTGAGTTGTGCATTTGCAGCAGTTGCTGTGGGTGGAGAGTCTTGCTTATTTGGTTGGTTTTTAGAACACTGTACTGTCATGGCAACTGTACTGAGGGTGAATGCGTCTGGAGGTAATTTATATATGTCATATTGACTGCAGTAACATTTGTTTGTACCATTTAAACTTTTCCAGCCACTGGGCAAAGGCAAAGTTAGCCTTTTGATACCCAGAGGCAGTTCCTCTTTAGTAAAAGCACCAGGAGGACACTGCTCCTTTGCCCAGACGGGGCAGATCCTGCTGCTGAGAGGATGGTGTTGTGTATGACACTTGGAGCTGCTCTACTTTGCACCTGTGCAAATTGAGCAAATCGACTGAAAGATTCGCGCACACTATGGCTTTAAAAGGGACTAAGTCAGGCTGCTGACGCGGTTTCAAGCGTAGCATCGCCTGCCTCCACGGGTCCTTCTCCAACTACCCTGTTGCCCACTGATCATCTGCTATAGCATAGCTCATCATGCATACCTCTACTGCGAATACTCCATTACACAACTGCAGGGAGAAAAAGGCTAAAAAAGAACCATACTCTTCCAGAAAGAGACTTTCTCCATGTGATCAGCAGATATAAAGAGATGCAGGTGTATGGTTATTATATCAGGGTCTATGGAAAGCACTTGCAGAAATGCTTTTGTAGCTAGGACTTCTACCCTGGCAAAACCACAAGGATCTAGTCATCTTTGCTGACGTGCTAGCACACAGTATTTTTCCTTCTTTTTCCAGAAAACAGTAAATTAACTGAGGTTTCGTTTTAAGTTTCTACTCTTGGCTCTTCCCAGATCTCACTTTGTCTAACACAGGGTTTTTATAAAGCACTTTTTTTTAATCTGTCCGGGAGCAGTACTAGAGAAGCACTGATTACAGTTGGACATGTTCTTATATCGCAAAAAGCCGTGCTTTGTACTGTCTGGAATTTGGTTTGGAGATGGCCTGCACACACCTAACTGTCGTGTGCAAACACATTCCCTGCGTAGATGCAGCCTAAACAAACGTGGCATTTTCTCAGCTGTACTCTAGTGGGAAGGAGAGAGCATTCAGTACTACCAGGGACATGGCTGAGGACACATGGGAGATGGTGTGCCACAGAGCGCTCCACAGCGCAGAGCAGCAGCTCCAAAACTGGCTGTCCTACAAAGCTGCTTAGCATATAGCAAGCTACCATGGACCAGCTGGTAGGTGGGATCTTGCCTTTGTTCAAGGCAGCAACTGAAGGCAAAGCAGGAACAACAAAAACATGCACAAGGAAAAACAGTTCAAGTGTCCATTCAGAACGCGCTACTTTGCCTTACAAAGTTGTAGTGCAATGCTCTTCAGAGGATAATCCTGCCTGGTTGCTGTTCTGAACAGTGCTTATCAGAAGCACTTAAAATTTTCCCTCCTGCTACAGTACATACTTTTTAATGCAAATGCTTTTAAGCACACTTCAGAACTTTGGCTGGAAGCATTTTTTGATATTGTAACTCGATCCCTTTCTAAGTAAACCAAAAGAGCTATGAAACCTTGAATTAAAATTAGGCAAGGAGGATTAGAAGTCCGATAAATTTATCTAGCCTCATCTTGCTGCTAGGGAAAAAAAATCTTACACTTTTTGAATACATGTGATTGCAGCCATCATTATTTCACTGATAGGCTTCACAGCAGCATTGCGTTCAGAGGAGCTATCCCTTTGCATTGTAGATGACAAACAGAAGAACAACGTGCTGTCCGCTCAGAACCTGGCCGCCAAGGCACACGTTAGCTGACTCCTCCATCGGCCAAGCCTCATCTCAAAACACAGTAGAGACTAAGGAGCATCATAATTTCCCAGTCGGAATCTCAAATAGCTAACACACACACCTATCTTTCTTTTATACTGGACAGGCTCTTTTGGGAATAGCTCACAAGTTTCCGGTAGCCCGATGTTATGAACAACTAGTGAATCAAATGGCACCTATGCTGATAGACGCTATTTCTTCAGCTAAATTAGCGCAGTAACAATCTACAGTATCTAATTATAGATAATTTTCTGTTCATCTGTCTAGGTACTTCTGACCCTTTTACTGTAATTCCTGAGCTCTCAGAACATTGATCAGAGATTTTCAATAATTTAATTCTAAGGGTCGGCTCTTTAGCTGGTGTAAATCAATGCAATTTCTTTGGCTTCAGAGCTGATCAGAATAGAGTTGTGTTAATTTCTGCAGTGGAGAAAGTGGTCTTAAACAACTTAAAGCATGCTTCTGCATCTTAGCCTGTCACACCTGCTCTAAAGTCTGTTAGCTGAAAACAGATGCAGGATAAAAACATCCACAGTTACCAGTGGAATGATGATAAGGCGTTGTCAGACTATTTGGAGAAAGTGTAGAGGCAGAGATAAACACAAATATTTTTTGGATGCTACTCAGCCCTATACAATTGAGACCAGCATACATGAACTTTAACAGCAGCAATGAAACCCACCACACTGAATCAGGTCTTAAAAACTGTCTGACTTGCAAAAGGAGAAGGCGCTTGCTCCTGCCTTGCGCCAGCCCCATTGAGCAATCTAGCCTGAAAAGAGGTCACACAAAAGGAATTCAAGCTCAATTGACAAAAGATTGAGCTGAACTTTAATATATTTTCGGCTTGGAAGTTTTTGAGCTTTGTTTTTGATTGCTGCTTAAGATAGAAAGAAGTTACATAAGTAAATGAAAATGGGAATGAGTGGAGACTTTTATTTGGTAGCGCATGTTTTAGGAAGAGGCATAAGCGAATATCCACAAAAATTTAAATCAGACACTGAAACAAGGACTACAGTGAACAGATGTTTCTTTGCCAGGACTGTGGATTTCAAGAGTGCACCCCAATTGCAAGTTAAGCAAAAGCCATAATATTTTCTTTTCTGAAAAACACTAAGCCTTTTCTCAACGCTTGCCTGGCTCCACAGAGAAGTGTTTGACTGAGAAACCAGGAACTTATGGGGAGATGCCAGCTTTTGTTACAGGAGGTTAAAGGTTCCCTAGAGCACAAAGACACTTTTCTTCCCTGGACGATCCTGTCATGGTATACATCAGCATAACTAACAGCCTGGCAAAGCTCAGAAGTAAGTACTCAAGAGATACTTGGTGAAATTTGAAAAGAAAATTTTTTCAAACAGTCATGAGCTTTTGTCTATAAGCATCTACATGTCAACATTTGTCAATAGAAATCTACTAAAAAAACCTAGCAAGATCTTTGCTTTCTTTTAAAGCAATATGTAGAGTAACTCGCACAGCTTTCTATATAAGTACAGAACCCCAACATATCCTTCCAAAATAATGCCTTACTTTGTGTTGCAAAGAGATTAATAATTACTCTTATCCATAGTGAGCTGATGCAATTTCATTTGCGTTCTATACACCCACGCTGCTGTTTCCTTCTGATCTACGTGTGCAGCTTAGCTACTGTTCTGCTGAAAAGCGAGCATCTGATAATACCTTCCTGAAAAGATGCCTATACCGTGGCTGCCCGCTCCAGTCAGTGACAAAGAATGGAGATGTCAGCTGTTTACAAAAGAAAATAAAGAACTTAATGTTCCAAACATCCCAAGAGAAATAACTTCATCATAAAGGTATTTTTTGTGCATTTCAGTTAAGAGAATGAAAAGAGTAACACTGAAGATCTGATACCAGCTTCTGCTTAATCAATCATTCTCATGGGATTGTTGTCTTTAAAGTGTGTAATTATAAACAACAGATGGAGACATGCTTAGGTGGGGGGGAGGAGAAAGTCACCCTGATGACAAGCATTTACTGTCTGGATCTGAACCAACCTTTTTTTTCCCCCACCTTGATATTTCAGGCTTCAGCATCAGCTGTTAAGTCCAGCAGAATACAATAATGGAACTATCCCTGGGTCTGCGCAAACCCCGTCGGCTACCTGGGAACCTCATGGCCGTGTGGATGTGACGCACCAGGCTACTACATTTGCTACTGATATCCAGAGAGAATACTTTTCGTGGGGAGAAGGCGTTAAAGTGATGGGCTGAACTTATGGGAGGAACTAGCACCAATTCAAGCGGTGATTCAGGGGCCGTTTGGAAGGCGTGAAGGCCTAGTTTCAGTAAGGGCATGGCCAAAGCTTTCTTCAGGCTACAGAAGTTTCTTCGGCGGGCTCAATTTCTGCTCTTTTTCCTCACAGCAGCTTACCTGATGGCTGGTAGCCTTCTGCTGCTACAGCGGTCTCGCTTGGTTATCCAGCAAGGTTCGCGTGGGACCTCCGCTAATCAGGCTCTGCCGGTTTTGGACGTGATGACAGGGGTTGGAATAGGGGTAGACACGAGGACTGTGCAAAACCCTCGCCCAAGCCCCCGGCTCCTGGTGGGCATGGACATGCTCCAGGAGTCAGCTCTGGACCAGAGGCACAGCCCACGGTGGCTCATGTCCCGTAACTCGGAGCTAAGGCAGTTGCGGAGAAGGTGGTTTCACAGGTTCATCAACGAACAGGAACCCGCGCAAACAAAAAGATCTAAAGTGATGGAGCATACTGCTGAGAACAAAGGTAAGGGATATTACCCCTCTACCCCATTTTCTGACATGCATGTAAACTGCACTCCTAGGACCATTTCAGGCAAAGATTAGTAAGTATCATAGAGACTTCTTGCAGAAATGCATTCCTTCCAGCTCTTCATCACTTCCAAACTAGTTAAGTTTGTGCACAGGCCAAAGTAAAATTCAGACATGCCTGTTCATGCTGAGCTGTAACTTCCTCCAAAAGTGTTTTTATTGAATTGAACGGAAGTCCAGGTAGTGAAATATGCTTCCCTCATTTAAATTACTTTCTCTTCAAACAGGCAAAGGTGAACACCATTTAATTGATTTTATTTGTCAGAACTGGGGAAATTTAAAAAGTGGGTTTTAAGTAAACTATCCAGAAGCACACAGTATCTTCAGTTTACAGGTGCCTTCTGCTGGTGAAGTTTTCCAGCATATACTAAATTCTGCTGTTGCAAACACACCTGTTGTTCCTGAACTGCCCCTGTGATATCTCTGCTAACCTGCTGTCTTTAGAGGAGCAAGAGGTAGGTCAGTATAACCTCTTCTTCCCTTACTGCGTGCTGAAGCAGCACCACGAGGAAACGAGAGCTCCTGGAACAGACAACTCCTGGTGTTTGACGAGTTTGCTGGAAATTAGCAACAGCCCAGCAGACCGCAAGGGAATTTGCATCACTGCACAGGGGAGGTCCAGTGCCGTGCATTAGCGGCCAGAGCACAAGCTACAAAACTGTACATTTTCCAGGCTTCATGATTTAATGATATCTTAAATGGAAAGCCATTCAGGAGTGACAGAAATCTGAGTTCACTTCACTGTGAGTCTGACTTTGCTACTATAACTGCTACTAACAAATACATGCATAGATTTAATTCAGCAG